AACTGTAGCTGTGGGTATTGCTGTAACATTCCCAACACAGACTTTCTTCCTTCGGGAATCTCCAGTGTGTGTTCTTGGGGGAGTCACAGCTGCGCCTTCCCTGTGGCACCAGGTGGTGGGGTTCGTCCCTTGGGTCCTTCTCAGAAGGGGATGCAGGTGAACCCATGCTCCTCCTCCTCCCACTCAGAAGTGTGCTGGCCCCATGGACGGGTAGCAACCACATCACTGGACGCTCTTTACAAATGCAGAATCTTGAACTCGCCCCAGACCTGCTGATGCAGATTCTGCATTTTAATAAATATTCCAGCACGATGAGTAGGCGGGTGAGACGCACGAAAGGGCAGCCCCAGGGGAACTGCTGACGCCAACTCACCCAACTGCTCAGCCAACTCACCTTTGCCCTGTAAAACTTAGTCACGACTGTTGCTATTCAAAGTTTGACCACCGGGGGGCACCAGAGCCAGGTCATTTGCGCTCCACTTGCCAATCAGGAGCTTGGAGATAGTGTCAGAAGAGAGCGGGCTTCCTCCACTCCCTCCACCCTACCGGGCGCAGGAGCTTTGTGCCTAACTCCTCAAAGGCACGTTGAGTTGAATTCTGCATTTGCAAAGGGAATGCTGATCTGAGATCAGAGAGCTGCTTTCCCTATGAGAACCCTGTAGTTGAGGCCAGCATGCAGGGATGGGGGCCTAGGCCTGGGGCTGCTTCCCTATTGCTGCTGGGTGACCTTGGGCAAGTCACCCCTCCTCTCGCAGTCCAAGCATCTTCATCCATAAAGTGCAGGCAGTTGGGCCAGGAGACTCCCGAGAGCCCTCTCAGCCCACAAGGCTCAGCCCAGCCCTGAAGTGCTTCCTGATACAGCCTTGCCCTGGGCCCAGAGCCTGCCAAAGAACTGGGACCAAGCTCCCAGCTCCCATCTCCCCAGGTGAGACAAGCTCCTTGCCCTGTCGTTCAAGGCCTGGGAGACCTGTAGCCCCTGGGATTGGGGGCATCTGGCAGACCTGGATCCCAAGGTGCCCAGCATTCTAGAGGCAACAGGAAACCATCAGGTGGGTGTGAGCATGGGTGGAGAGGTGTGGATGACGAGGGCACTCACCCACCAGCCTCACAGACAGGGAGACTGAGGTCCAGCAAGGACGTGTCCCTGTCACGGGTCCTGTGGCCAGGGTCAGTGGTGGAACTGGGGCCAGAACCCAAGCGTCTGGGAGCTGGGGCAGCAGCCCACATGCTGGAGGCTTTGTTCCAAGGGCCTGGGGCCCAGAACTGGCTGCTCTCCTAGCCTGGGGTTCTGGGGGAGCTGGCACTCACTGATGTCCCCCCGGGACCTGCTTGCTGCCCAGAGCAGAGCTCCAAGCCCCGGCCAGCAGAGCAGAGAGGGCTGTGAGAACTGCCCACATTCCTAATGCTCTTGGGGTTTCTGCCAGGATAGCAAGAGCAAGGGTCTCTGCCGTCAGCAGGGTCCTGGTGCAGTCCTCCCCTAGGCTCCCAACTCAGGAACTGGAGACCCACTAACCTACTGGCCACGGGAGGTCAGCTATGTCATCTCAGAGCACTATTCTTACCAGGGCACCCCTCTGCTCAAAATCCCCAGAGGGTCCCCATTGCCTGGACAATAAAGCAGTGAAGAGATCCACTGTCTGTCAGACTTGGGATCCCAGCCACCTGCCCTCGGATCCACTGCCCAGCACCCCATGCCTGCCCCTGGCTGCCCACCTGCCTGCTTTCACCTCTGTTCAGAGGTCCTACCTGTGCCAGGCACTGCCCCAGGCACTGGGGGCAGCAGTGGGCAGACAAGCCCCTCTCTCTTCAGGCATTTGTTCTGATAGACACATACAATAGCCCACCTGTGACCCATGGCATTTAGCAGGGAAGGGGATCGGCACTGTCCATGGGTGGTCAGGGAAGGCCTCAGTGAGAAGGTGGCACATAGCCAAGGCATGAGGCATGGGAGCAGCTGTGTGGGTGTCAGGAGAAGCATCACACAGAGAGAACCACAAGTGCAAAGGCCCTGAGGCAGGAATAAGTTCAAGCATGTATGAGGAAAGTGAGCAAAATGAAACTGGGCCAGGGTGGAGGGCCAAGGCTTTGTTCAAGGAGTGGGGACAAGGCTGCCCAGTGAGCCTAGAGGGGCAAGAGCAGAAGTGGGGACCACTAGAGGCAGCCTCCTTGCCCCCCCCCAGAGCTCCCTAGGAGCTGTCCCCTCTACCTGAAACTCCCTCCTCTGAACTGTGGCCAAAGACACCTGGCTACTCGTTTGAGCAGAACTCACTTCCATGTCCCCTGCCGATCAACCCAGCTGCTCCTCTCTGCACCCCCAGGAAGAAACTCCCTCTTTTGCCTCGGGATGCCCACTTGCTTAGACCCCCAACAGAACCTCTCACTTGTGAATTTTTCTTCTGCTTCGGTACTGAATGCTGAGTCCTTGGAGACCCGGCGCCCATCTGCTTTTACCACCAAGAAGTCAGCACGCCAACGAAAGCTCTAGCAGTGCCGTGAGTGCAAGGGCCCCGGGGTATCCGGCAGGGTCACCTGGGCAACCTCCCCTACAGCCCGATGGCAGTCGGTGAGAGGGGCAGGGCAGGGCAGGGCCTGAGCTTCTGTGCTTGAAACATTCTCCAAGACATGTCAGCCATGTGCTGAGGGCGAGGCCCCTTGCTGTTTGTCAGGTGCTGTCCCGGGCGTTGGGTGCATTCGTCTCCAGAGACAGTCTGGGCAAGCACAGCCAGATCGTCCTGAATTCAGATCCACAGCAGCCAGCGTTAGCTGCCAGTGTGGAGCCAACGTCTCTGAGTCCCAGCTCCTCCTCTGCAGCCCTCAATAGCCACAGGCCCCTGGGGCAGGGTCCTTCCTTCCCACCCCTCTGAAATGGGCTGAGAGAGGAACATGAACTCGGTAGAGGACCATGGGGCAAAATGAGGCCTCTACTAGGCAGGGGGTGTGGGTGGAGTGTCGTGTGACCAGAGAGCACAGCCAACCTGGGTGGCTCGGTGCAAGCACCAGCTCTCAGGAGAGCCCCGCTCAGAGGTGGGGACAGCCTCCCCAGTTCGTCACGCAGTCCACCACCACAGCTGCAGGGTGGATGTCTCCAGGGCTGTGGCTCTGCCGTGCAGCGTCCAGGGGCAGGTCCGGGGCCTGAGGCTGCGCTGCTGCCCGGCCCGGGGATGCCGATGTTGCCGGTCCTGCGCATGGCACTTGGAGTGAGCCTGGACCTGCCCCAGCCCTGCGGCACTAGGATCTGCGATGTCACAGATGCCCCCAGGGATGGTGGAGACCGCTGGTGCAGGGTCTTGGAAGAATGCGTATTTGGGGACTCAGCACAACATGGAGAGAGGTCAGCAGATTGGTGTCTTTCCGGCTGCCTGTCACCACCTGTTAGCGCCTCTTGAGGTTTATTTTAGACACAGTGTTATTCACATAATATCCTATCATCTGCTCAGCAAAACCCCGACGTGAGCCTGTGCGGTCTTGCCACAGTGACCAAAGGACCAAATTGGTCAGACGACAGGGGAAGGTGGGGCTGGGCTGGAGGGAGGCGGCTCTTTTCGGGCCACTTACTCCAGGACACCTCCCTTGGCACGAGCCAGTTAGCGAGCTCCCGAGGCGGACTTTCCTCCAGTGTTGCTGACAGGGAAACTGAGGCTGGGAGTGGGACGCACTTGACCCGGGTAGGTGGGTGGCAGAGGGTAGGGCTGGGATGGGACTCGGGTTTATTCACGGGTTGCTGGGCTGAACAGTGGCCCCCAAATTCACGCCCACATGGACCCTCAGAATGTGACCTATTTGAAGAAGTGTCTTTGGTGACGAAGTAAGTTGAAATCGAGTCACTGACCCAATGCCAGCTGGAAAGGAGAAGGAAATTCGATACAGGGAACCCGAGGCCACATGAAGAGAGGTGCCCAGGAGCTCTCGTGTCACAGTGGGATAGGGACCAGAGTGATGGTGCCACTGGACCAGGTCGGCAGAGAGCTGCAGGGAGCCTCCAGGAGGAGGCCAGGAGCACATCCTCCTACTGAGCCTCGACAGGGGGCCAGCCCTGCCCAGCCTGGACTTCCGACTCCGACCTGTGCAGGGACACGTTTTTGTGGTTTCCAGCTACTTGTTTGTGGAGCTTTGTTTTGGCAGTTCCAGGAACGCCAGGTTAGCGAGGGGACCAGAGCAGGCACATACCAAGTAAGGAGCAGGACCAAAGCCCTGGACGGCAAGTGCACCACACCAGGGCAAGTCCCCAGAGCCCACAGCCAGGCCGGCAGCCAGGAGGGCTTTCCGTGCAGCTGGTGGGGAGGGATGACTCAGGACAAGCCAGCAGGTGGCGAGGGAATTCTGGGTATAGGGAACAGCCTGGGCAAGGCCCCAAGCTGGAAGAGCCTAACATCCCCAAGGAAGGGCAAACAGGCCAGCAGGACAGGCCAGCATGGCAAGGTGCGGAGAGGGCATGAGCCAGAGGTGCAGGGCTGTGAGCAGAGGCACAGAAGGACCCCGCTTCCTTCCCAGGCAGGCTATGGTTTGAGTACCCTCTGAAACTCACGTTGAAATTCAATCCCTGCTGTGAGATGGACGAGGCAGGTGCAGTTGTAGGTTTAAGAGCACTTAAGAGGTGAGTCAGCTCTGCCCTAATGAGTGGGTTCATCCATTCCCCCGTGAATGGACTTGCAGGTTAATGGTTATCTCCGGAGCGGGCCTACTACCAAAGCCAGTTTGGCAAGGTCTCTCATGCGTTCCTGGCCTCTGGCCCTCAGGTGCCCTGCCCCACTTGAGCACTCTGCCAGCAAGGCCATCACGGCTGACTTGGGGACAGAACCATGAGCCAGAGTGGACCTCTCTTCTGGTCTGGTATGGTGCTGCTGGCAGCAGGAAGGGGCCCGAGGGCATCAGGAGGTCTGGGGAGGGCCGAGGCGGGAGAGAGGCCTGTGCTCAGGTTTAGGTAATTCTGACTACTAATAATGGAGGGTCTGAAAACATCGATTCATTCATTCATTTGTTGGTTCAGCAGGTGATGATACAAACACCCCCAGGACCATGGCCAGGCCTGTGAATGGGAAGAAATGGTCAAGAGAGTGTGGGCTGCTAGTCAGGGTCTGAATTCTGCTTCTACCCCTAGGACCATGTGACCCTGGACTAGTCACCTCACAGCTTTCCCCCACCATGAAAGAAGGAGAACAAGAGTGATGCTTTTCCTTCGTTAAGACCTAGATTAAATGGTGTCCTCTGCCAGGTGCCCACGGGCTTCCTCTGGACCCTATGGTCCCACACGCTCACACCTGCTATGCACATGCCACCAAAGCTCCTTCTGAAAACAGCTGTGTGTGCTGCCCCGAGCTCATGCCCTGGGTCCCCAGGCCTCTGCAGGTGGGATCTCTGTGCCAACACCAGATGAGACTGCCACCTGTCCCCCAACATCTTGCTTAGGGAGGAAGGACAGATGCCCTCTGGGATGGCAACTTGTGGTCCCTGCATCTGAGGGGGACAAAGGCAGGCAGAACTGAGGGTCACCACCAAGACTATTTTCTCTGGGAAAACCTTTAAATTCAGGCATGCAGCATTTCTGGTTCTACCCAGGAACAGCCCCAAAGCAAGTTCCAAGATGATTCCTGTATCTGCCTTTCTTCTCCCTCTTCCCAGTTGCTCTCTGTTGCTTCCCAAAGCACCTTGCACCCAGAGTATGGCAGCTGCCATTGTATTGAAATGTAAGGGAAACAGTGATCGGGGATTGTAGGAAGCTTTCTGGGTAATTTCTGTTTCTAAAGATTGTCAACAAAACAATATCTCCCCTGCTCAACTGTCCCAGTTGCTCCCACGAGCATCAAGAATGTTTCCTCCCTGCCACCCCACCACCACCACAACCTGTCTCGTGTCAACCCCGTCCATTCCTCTGAAGGCTGCTGCTGAGTGCTGGGAGTGTCCGGAACATCTTGGGGAGGATTTTGAATTGGGTAATTTGGGCTCCTCCAATTTCCTAAGTTCTATGATGCCTAAGATTTTGTTCTATTGTTTCCTGCTAAATTGATGAACAAATCCCCTCTCCCACCAGCTCTGGGCTTCATAAGATGACAGTAGGGACAGGTGCTGAAAGTGCTTCCGTGGAGAGCGAGGGAGGAGACGTGTGACCGCCCCCACCCCACCCTCGAGGGCACGTGCTTACAGAGCTATGGCAACGCATGTGTGAGCTCCTCTAAAGCCCCTGGAAATCAAATCTGGTGCCGTTGTTGGGTTTGGACCTGGAGTGTGTGCAGCACAGCAGCACAGCTGGCGTTAGGGACAATCAGGCCAACAAGGTGTCCTACCGTGACCCAGATGATGGAGGAAACAGCATCCCCCATCCTTCCGTGTGCCTTGTCCCACTGAGCATGTCCCCCAGGCCAGCTCCTGGTCTCCCCCGTGGCCCTGTGGGGTGCAGGGTCTGCAGAGGGCCTGCGGTGCATCCAGAGAGTTGGGTGTTCCTTCTCGCGGGAGAGAACAGAGCTGCCGTGGAGCAGCACACAGGAAACTTGGCTGCATATGGCTGAAAGAAAAAGAAACCTGCGCAGGCTCGAGTCTGACTCCAGCTCCAGGACCCTGGAAAAGAACTCTGGAGACAGTCAAAGGATCAGTGGGTGCCCGGGTGGGGGGACAGGGCAGGAACAGGTGGAGCACAGAGGGGTTTTAGGGCTGCCACTCTATTCTGTCTGATACTACAGTGGTGGACACGTCATTATACATCTGTCCAAATCCAGAAGAGGCACAGCCCAGGAGTGGACCTGAGCTTGAAGCACGGATTGGGGGGTGGATGATGGCAGGTGAATTGGGTTCATTGATTGTAACAAGTGTTCCACCTGGGACAGGAGGTTGACATGTGGTGGGGGATGGGGGGCTAAGCAGCGCTTGATACTTCTGCTCAAGTTTTGCTGTGAACCTGAAAACGATTTAAAACTCTTTTTTTTTTTTTTTTTTTTTTAATAAGGTAGGGCAGAGTGAAGTCAGCACCTCCTCCAGGGAGCCTTCCCTGACTCTCGCCCTGCCATGGCCTCCTGCCAAGAATCTGCAGCCAACCTTGCTTCTCCCCTGGGCCAACTCTCCCCGGACTAAAGGGTGACTGCGGTTTCCTGATTCTGAACCAGCAAGCCCTTAAGGGCCCTGGGGTGTGTGCCTTAGACCCTTCTGTCCCCTGCTGTAGAGCATGCGGTAGCGTCCATGGAACACCCGCTGCGCCCTGCTGATGATTGGGTGGGCTTGTACGGGATGAAGGATGCCCAGTGCCAGGCACATTGATGTGCTCAGCTGTGGTCCGCCGCTGCTGCCGCCGTGCCCAACCCTGGTAACAGAGCCCAGGGACCTGAGCTGCCATCAGGACACATGACCAGACCCCACGCTGTGTGCTTTACTCCCTCCCCGCCTTGTCCAGGATGGCAGGCTGAGCCCCCTTCCCAGGGGCCAGCTGGGCAGCAGAGCCCTCACCTGGCCCTGCCTGGGGGTCTCCTGGGCTTCCAGGAGGTCTCTGAATGGCGGTCCTCCCCACAAGGGGCATCTTCCTTCTCAAAGTTGCCTCTGTCTCCTGGATGCTCCCTTTTGGCATGTGAAACTTCCCGTTTACTTGGTGACTCATCCAAGAGGCATTAAGTGGCTGTCACTCTCTTCCTTCAGAGGTGGGTAAATCACGACTCAGACACGCAGGCGGGCACAGAGCTCCCGAGACAATGCCGCGTGTGTGCGGGGGCGGGTGGAGGTGTTGGCAGGCGTGGGCCCAATGTAGCACGCACCCTAGTGACACAGAGCTGTGTGACCGGCACCAAACTCCCCCAGCACCACCCAAACTCCTTCCACTTGCATTGTGATCCCAGGAGGCTGTGGAGGGGGCACAGTTGGGGTTTGTAAAGGAAAGACGGAGAAGAGGAAGGGCCCAGCATGGGCAGGATGGCGGAATGAGGTGGATGGAGGGGGACTCGGGAGCCTGGAGACTCTGCCACCCAGCAGTTGTGGGATGTGTGACCCTGGGGAGTCTCCATCTAGGACATGGAGGGCCGACCCCAATAGGTCACCTGGTGGTAGGACGATCATCAAGCTGAATCAGCAAAAACAGCTTCCTACGGAGGTGTGGGCAAGAGCACGTGGGGCAGCCTCAGCAGGGCCATGGAGGGGCGGGCCTAGGTGGGAGCAGGGCCTGAGCGAGCCCAGGGCTTACCCAACCCCAAGGTGCCAGGCAACTGCTTTGCCCCACGTGACTCCCGTGGAATCCAGACTCCTGGCCCAGTGGCCCTGGTAGGACAGCTCTGCGGTGGCTGTGTGTGCAGCCTGGGTGACAGCCCCCAGCCTAGGAGCATTGCCCCACCTCTCCCAAGCCTCTGAGACCCAGGGCCTCTCTTCAGGGCAGTTCTGACTCAGGAGCCTGGGGAGGCACACCGGGCTCTGCGTACCTAGCAGGAACCTGAACTGCCGGTGCCGTGATCCCCTCCCAAGATAAACCATGGGATTTTCAGTCATAAGGCTCAAGTGTCCCCATGGATCGGAGGCCCCAGGGGGAGTGGCACTGTTAAATGCAGATCCCGGGGCTTGGCTCCTGGGGTCGCTGATGTGGGTGGTCTTAGGTGTGCAGGATGTGATTGACACGCCACCACATTCTTACTCATTCACCCAGTAGGCTAAAACCCCAGCTCAGGTCACAGAAGCCATGCTCTGGGGGCCACAGGATCCCTGGGACATTCAGCCTGGTCATTTGGGGGCCACTTCCCCAATGCTCAATACTGCTTGTTTACCCCCCTGCAACTGTGAAAGGTGTCTTGGCAGCCGATGCCTGTTTAAATGCCAAGGGGCTGGTTGTTTTCCCTAAGGCTGCCCTGGCCAGGGGCAGGGGTTTCCATGCCCTCCACCCAAGTCCATCTGAAGGAGCTTGGCTGGACCCTAGACCACAGCAAGACCACAGTGCTAGCATGATGTTATCATTGTATGAGTGCCACAACTCAGTGGCTTAAAACGACATTTGTTCCGACACAGTTCTGGAGGCCAGGAGTCTAAAATCAGTATCACTGGGGCCAAAATCAAGGGGAACCCATTTCTTGCCTCTTCAGCTTCCCGTGGCTGCCAGCATTCCTCAGCCTGCACGCCAGGCCAAGGCCAGCACCCTCAGCTCTCCCTCTGCTCAGTCTCCACGTGGCCTGCTCTCCTGCCTCTTTCCTATAAGGATGATGTAACTACATTAAGGACCTCCTGGATACCGGGATGACAGCCCCTTCTCAAGATCCTCAGCTTAATCTCACACCTGCAAAAATCTTTTTTCCAAATAAAATCACATTTGCGGGTTCCCAGAGCTAGGGCATTATTTGGCCTAGTACACCAATGGTCCACAAAGGCCCCAGCTCTGCTCTCTTCAGAAGATAACTCACCGGGCCTGTCTCCATTTTTCTGTGGAAGCTTGGCGTAGCCCAATGTCTGGAACTGGCAAGAGGTCAGTTGAGTAAGTGGAAGTGAGTTTTAAATAGAAACTGACAAGGAAGTGGGTCAAGGTCATGAACGCAGATTCTTAAAGTTGTGGGAAGAAATCAGAATGAGGTTAGGAGAGGCATATTTGGAGGTCACACTAAAGAGTCCTAGAAGCAAGAAAGAGCTTGCACGAGGGCAGTGCATCCGTGATGCATTCATTCATTTATTCATTTGATGACCAACAGAGGAGAACAGGGAGGGCTGGGCCGGCGGGGAGCGAGGGCAGGCCTGGAGAGATGGCACTCAACGGCCAGTCTTTCTCCCACCAGAGCTGAGCTTCAGTAAGTCCTCCTGTATTTTCACCAGTCATTGCTTTAAGTATTTAGCTGCTAGAGTTTCCGGCACGTTGAGATTTATGATGATTAAATCTTTGTGGTCTGTGCCTCGGACTGTTACATAATACTCTTTGTTCCTGTGAATTTGCTCTGCCTCTGGGTCTTCCTTATCCAATATCAGTTTGCCATTCTTGTTGCTTTTCTTTTTTTTTTTAATTCCACTTTTCCAATGTCCACTTGGAACCTCCACTTGCCAACATTTTTGGTGTGTTTCCTGTAAACAGCACCTAGCTGGTTTTGAGTGTTTCACACTGTCTTACGACGTTTGCTGGGAAATTCAGCCCATACCCATTTATTATGAAAGCTGATCTCTACAGTTATTAATTTCTTCTCACTTTATGTTTCCTTTTGCTAAACTGTATTGTTATCCTGCTATTTCCTCTCTTTTACCCCTTCCTTAATTTTGGGTCTGTGAACCAAAGTTATCCATAAAAGTAACGTTTGTGTTTGGGAACTTCCAGTTTGTGTGAATTTTGCTGACTGGATCATAGAGACCTGGAGGAGAGATGAAGTGCTGTGATTAAGAAGCTTAGTTTGTTTGGGGCTTTGATAGCCATCTGTCATGGGCCCACGTCTGACCCGGCACTTCTGTGACCACTGGATAAACACATGCTAAGCTTTACAGACCTGCCTCTCTTCAATGTCCAGGTTGGACAGAGCACTGTTTGGCAGCCCACCTACTGTGATCCCACCTACTTTAGGGGGGTCTCTGGACGACCTGTGTAACTCATGGGAGAACCGTGTTGTTCTGGGAGACCATGTCCTTCAGGAGCTCATGTGGCTAACTTGAGTTGGTTTCTGGGGCACGCTCACTCATGTGGGCTTGGAATCAACCACTTTCTTATTTCAGATTGACCTTTCTTTTTTTTTTTCTTGGTACCAGGGATTGAACTCAGGGGCACTCCACCACTGAGCCACATCTCCAACCCTATTTTGTATTTTATTTAGAGGACAGGGTCTCACTGAGTTGCTTGGCGCCTCACAGTTGTTGAGGCTGGCTTTGAACTCGCGATCTCCTGTCTCAGCCTCCCAAGTCACTCAGATTATAGGCTTGTTCTCCCCAGCCCTCCTTCAGCCTCCACCCATTAGCTCAGAAGCCCTCTGCTTCTGCTCCACTAGTTGCTGTTTTTGGGTTCTTGAAAGTCATGGTCAAACTGATATTCTCTTTTAATGTATTAATAGTAAATGGTGAAATCCTCACTTCCCCTCCTTCCCCACTCTCCCTCCCACATGCCAAATCAGACTTTCCTTCCTCCTCCCTCTCCCCTACCTAGATGTGATCTTGGAATGCTCTGAAGCTCCACCATAAGATACATTCTGTTTTTCAGTTTCAGGCTAACACATACTTCCCCGCAGCAGCCTGTGGCTTGTACCTAGGGAATCCTCAGCAACTGCAGTGGCTTTTAGATTAAGCCATATATTTTGCAAAGGTCATTGCTTGCTGCCACTTCCTGTTTTGCAAGTCTGCTCTATTTATCAGTCTTGGCCCTGATTGAGCCCTCTCAGCAGGAGGGCAACTTCAGGACTCCTATCCTGAAGGCCCTAGGCCCACTGGGCCTTCTCCCTGCAGTGTCAGGCTGCACCCTCTCTGTTTTCCCCTGTGGATGACTCCCACCACAGCTCAACACAGAGCTCTCGATCACATGACCAGAGTGTCTGGATACTTTCAAAGTCCAGCAGGAATCTGGGCCACTCAGATTCTCCTTTCTTTGGATGTGATGCTCCTTCTGAAATTCTTCAAGATTTTCTGTTTCCTTGGGATTCGCGTCTCAGAGCATAGCTGAAGCCAGGGACACTGCCTGACTTTTTTCTTTAAACTGTTTGCCTTCCAGTTCTCTCTGGGACTCCTGTTCATTGCCTGCTACCCTTCCTGGGACTGTCTTTCAAGCCCCCCACCTTTTTTTTTCGGATGACTTTCGTGTCTTTTCATCATGATATATGGGTATTTGCTCTAAACTGTCTTCCACTTTGCTAATTTGGTTCTCTTTCTGAATTTGCCTATGACTGTGAGTTTCCCAGTTCTGTGGAGATGCTAAACGTCGCTATGTTCTGCTTGACGCTCTCTGAAAGCTGTCTTGCACATTTTTATTGAATTTTCTGTTCCCTTAGGTCCCCAATAGAGGAAGGGTTCCATCTGTCCTCTTCCCCATGCTTGTCCCCTGGAAGAGTTGGTGAAGTGTCTCTGCTTTTGTGTGATTGTGTGTGCAGTGTCTATAAAGACACTTTTCTCCTGGGCAGAAGAGGCCAGCCAGCAGGGGGTAGACGAGGAGGGCATGGATGTCCTTGAAGGTGACAAAGAATGAGTTGGTAAGGTCCTGTGGAGTTGCTGAGGAGGCCTCCTGGCTCTCAGCCTCACAGATGGGAGCAGAGCTGCTGTTCCGGGAGGGGGTGCTGCAGCAGGTTCTGGTAGGCCCCAGCCCTCAGAATGCCAGAGGACCATGGATGGGTTGAAAATGAAAGAACCTCATCTAATTGCTTTTCAAAGAGTCTCAAAGATATCAAGACTTAAACAGGAAACAAATGCTTTTGAGATTAAGAACATGAAATGTCTAAACTCATTAGTGTTGTGGCTTGTCCCCTGAAAACTCATGTTGGGGGAAGGGATGGGAAGAGGGAGAAAGATGGCCACCTGTTATAGGTAGAGAGGAACAAGAGGTTGACAGTGGGCTGGCTGTATTGCACAGTAGGCTGACATAATGACGTTGTACTGAGCGTTTTAAAAAAAAACCTAGAAGGATTTTGAATGTTTTCACCATAAGGAAATGATAAATGTTTGAGGGGACAGATATGTTTACCATGATTTACACGTGATGCAATGTATATGTGTATTGAAACCTCATGTGGTACCCCATAAATGTGTATAGCTTCTGTGTCAGTTAAAAACATAAATTTAGGACTGGGGTTGTGGCTCAGGGGTAGAGCACTCGCTTAACACATGCAAGGCCCTAGGTTTGACCCTCAGCACCACATAAAAATAAATAAATAAAATAAAGGTATTTTTAAAAACCCATAAATTTAAATTAACAGCAACAAAAAAAGAATTTTTTTTCCCTAAAGCAAAGTGTTGAGAGGTGGCAGGATCTTTAGGGTGGTTGGTTATCAAGAGGGATTAATAGGTTTTTTTGAGGTGTGGGTTAACTGTCCACTAACTTCATTCGTTGCCTACGGAGCAGGGGAGCAGGTGGTTGTGAAGAGAGGCTGTGTGTGTGTTCCCTTCTTCCCACCTGCCTGCTCGCCCTCCTACTTCTCAGCCATGTGATAATGTAGCACGAGGCCCTAGACAGATGCAGCTGCCTGATCTTGGACATGCCCACCTCCAGAACCATGAGCCAAATAAACTTCTTTCCTTTATAAATTACTCAGTCTTGGGTATTCTGTTATAGCAACAGAGAACAGATTAAGATAATTAGTTACCATGGAAATGCAAATTACAATTACAGAGCTCGTTTTTTTTTTTTTGTGTTTTTTTTCAATTTCCATTTCGGGGAAGTGTTGGGTTTTTTTTTTTGTTTTTTTTTTAAAGTAATGCCTTGTGCAATGAGTGCCCTCTCAGAGATGAGCTGGAAACAACTTTGAGAAACTCATTAACTTGTTTTAGTAAAATGTATCTACAGACCTGAGAAAGCCATCATGATTCAGTGTTCCTGCTTCCAGCACTTAGCCCTAAGGAAACAGCCCCACAATGTAACTCATGGTGACTTCCGAAAACACTTTCTTGGATGCACTCAGTCCCAAAATACAAGCATTTTTCTGTATTAGAAGAGAGGGGAGTGTTCCAAGTGACTGTGGACAAAACTGAGTCCAATGCCACTTGTTTCCTAGGGTCCTTAGGAGAGAAAGAGTGGAACAACAACAACAAAAAATTCCATGTGTGAAAATTCCCCTAAATGGATCCTTATCAGAACCTCACTGCTCAGCCCAGCCTTCCTTGCCTCCCTTCCTTCCTTCCCTGTGAGCCTCAAAAGGTTGCAGGAGATGGGGGTCAAGGGGACAGCTGGAGGATCAAATGCAGAGACTGATGAACTTTGTAGGCGACAAAGTTGAGGTGGTGGCTCAATGGACAGAATCCATCTCCAAAATCACTGGAATATTTGCTCCCACCTTGCAGAGAGTGCTGTTTCTAACATCTCTGAACTGCAGTTTCTGTAAAGATGACCCAGGACAGGTATCTCAGATTGACTGTGGGGACCAATGATAGAGCGACAGGGACTTCCACTTCAGGACTGGGGGCCTGTATCAAGCATGGACCTTTTCCCTCTTCTCCAAAACACATCTCTCACACACTTCAGGGGACCTAAAGAAGGGGGTCTCCCAACTGCCAGAGCCTCACATCACTCCCTGGGCTAATATATGCTTTCAAAGGAATCCCACAATTACCTCGTGAAAAGCCTGCTAGGTTGCATTTCATTTTGTGCACTTAGAGCAATACTTAGTTACACGTACACATTTAAATGGGCCGCATTTTCTACCCTGGATGCTATATTGAGGGAGCTCCTGTATGTCTAGCAGCACCGGAGTTAAGGCGTCGGCGCACAGTAGGCGCTCAAAACGTGTTTGTTAATATTACAAAAACAAATATAATGAATCCAAAGGTGGTTCCCCGGGAGCCGGAGTCCGGGGTGAAAGTCGTCCCGAACCTTGCAGGTTTGGGTGGGTCCTACCACCTGTTACACACCCCGCCCACAGCTCCAGCTCCGCCTCGGAACGCCTTGTGGGCGGGGCCAGGGCGCGGTCCTGGGCCGAATCCGCTCGGAAACTTTCGCTGTAGGCGGTCCAGACCTGCCCTCCCGGCGCCCAAGGTCCTGGAGGCGCCGAGGGAGAGACGGCCGCAGCAGGCGGGGCGCTCCGCGATTGGCGGAGGCGCGCAGTGATTGATCGGTGCGCCGGCCGTTCAGGGGGCAGAACAGGAGCCGCGTCCGCGAGGCCGCGCCGCGAGAGGAGGGCGGCGGAGGCCCCGCCCGCTGCCCCGCCCCTCGGGCCCAAGTCCGCGCTGGCCGGCGCCCGCTCCGGTTGCTCGACTGCTGTAGTCACCACCCGGCGCGTCCCGCTGCTCCGGATCAACTTCGCGACCCACCAGGAGGCCTGAAGCGCCGCGTGAGGCCCTCTCGCCGGCAGGTGAGTGTTGGGGCGGGGGGCGCGTGCCGGGGATGGGGAGGGTCCCGGAAGGCGAGGCGGCTCCGCCCACCGCGGGCCTCAGTTTACCCTTCTGAGAAGATGGGTGGCCGGACCCGAAGGCCCCCGCGAGTTCCCCGAAGTTGGAGGGCGTGGGGTCCCGCCCGCCTCGCGATGCCTGAGGCGACCCCTGCCCGGGCGGGCCCACTCCTCCGTACTGGCCAAGCCGAGCGCTGCCCAGGGAGCGCGCGCCAGAGAGGCCGGGCTCTGGCGGACCAGGGCGGGTGTCCCCAGAGGCGCCGTCCTGCCCGTGCCCAGCTAGCCGGCGGGATGTCGCGATGG